CCTTTGTAATTGTGGTAGTCAATTGCATCCTCTCTTGCTGGATGAACTTCTATATGACATCCATCTGAAAAATTAAAGTTACAACAGTTCCACAGTAAAAAATTTGAATCTCTTACCAATGGCTCCTAAGACTTGAGGGAAACCTAGTGATTGAAAGCCATTTATGAATTCCCTTAACTTAACTTCGGTCATTGGAAAATTTTTTAAATATAAAGGCCACAAAAATTTCCAAACCTCATGGCAGAACTCAATTAATATGCGGCCGACAGTACTTTTACCAACTCCGAACATATTTGCCATTGTGCGGTATTCTGCGGAAGAGCCAAGCGCGTACAATGCAATTGCAACTCGTTTCTCCAACACAATTGCTTTCCGATAGTGGGTATTTCTTCTTTCCATACCAATCAACATATGACACAATTTTCTGAAGGATTTACGATTCATTCGAAAGTTACTCTTAAAAAATAGTTACTTCCGAATTCAGCTGGCAATCGACTTCCCAGAATGTCTGGCGACGGATCTGGGTTACGTTCATATACATATATGCAAATTAATTTAACTGAATAAATTAGTAAAAAGATAGTATAACACCTTCGTCCAGCAGGACCTTATTGAAGCGCAGTCACATACACAAGCTAGTTTAAGAATCATTTGCGCAATGAGAAATCTTCTCAATAATTGCCGCCTTAAGTCGAACAATTCTTCCATTACTTCCACCGAAGTGAAAATATTTATGAAAAAGAACACAATTTTTATGATTTGATAACTAATATTGCACTTCATACACAATATTCTGCCAATTGGGGTGTTCACAGTTCGTTCCAAATTGTGTCTGAAAATGTAGACGTCTACATTTTGAGACATCTTTAGCATCAAACTGTGAGCACCCCTTTCTAGCAGTCGTCGCAAAATCGTCTCAAAACTTTGCTGGTGTTGCCAGACATTTCTTCTTTGCGTGCTTTTTTATATGTCGCCTTTCGATTTTGTTTCTGAAAAATTGTAATTATTTAACTTAATTACCAATTCCTAATATTTTTTATTTCTTTTCCTTGATTTATTTCTTTTCATCAGAAATTGCGCTCAAATTAAATGCAAATATAGAAAACGTGCCCAATAAATAAAAAAAATGCGATTAGTATTGCCATAGTGCAACCCTGCTGCGAGGTTGCAAAATGTAGACGCGTAAAAAACATACCTTTGAGTGTGACAAAATGTAGACGGCGTCGTTTTCCAATTTTGTATGGGAAACAATAACACCACAGATTTTACGGTTAGAAAACGTCTTAAAATGTAGACGTCTACATTTTGAGACACTATTTGGAACGAACTGTGAACACCCCAAATGTAAACAAACAAGACGGAAACAGCTGTTTCCTAAACTACAAACCATAGTGTGGACAGCAATAGTTAGTGATGTGGTTAAGTTGATTTGAGATGGTTAACTTTTTGGTGGGGACATGGTATTACATTGCCTCGCGTTCTTATTTTTGCATGAATAGAAAATATTTAAGTCAAAAAATTGTCGGAAACGAAAATAAAAAATTCAATCTAATACGGAAAAATTGTTTTTGCTCTGATTTTTGCAGCGATTTAGTCCTGAATCGAGTTTTGGAGCTCCGAACACTGTTCTCTACATTTGTACTGTTTTATAAACCTCAAACCGCAGTGTGGACACCAATAGTTAGTGATGTGGTTAAGTTCGATTTGAGATGGTTAACATTTTGGTGGGGACTTGGTATTAATTAATTTTAAAAGTTTAATCCTTACTTCCATTTGCCAGATTTGGGAGATAAGTACATGCTGTTTTCAAGTGTATTTTTTCTTAGATTTTGTATAAAAACAAAAAGAAAACTGTATAGGTATAGGGTTGGTCGAATGAATGGCCTCCTAGTCACGTGTTCCGAGTCTTTTCGATTGCTAGGTATGAGGCCTTATGTTGGACAAAAGACGGAGTATAAAGGAGCCAAATGGAGGAAATTAGCCTATGGTTACAGAAGATATCGTCACTACACACGAATAAAGGCGCGCTAGTGTTTTGACGGCGAAAAAAGGCGCGTAAAAAATTTTTCGAAAAAAGATGCTTATGAAAAACTTCGACGAAGTATGTCTTTGACGCTGAAGTTTTTTTATGCGTCTTTTTTCGCCGTTATTTTTTGAGCTCGCGCCTTTATTTGTGTCTAGTGACGATATGTAACAAAGTAGCCGACGAAGACTTGCGTGCCGCTTGAGCTCTTCTCTCAAAATGTTTACCGCTTTTAAACGCAAATGAAGGTTAAAATTTAAAAACTTATTAATAAAATTTAAGTAAAATCTGTGGATAATTAACAATAAACTACTTTTTTCGCAAAATCTATCAAGTTTCCTTAAATTTTTCAATAAAACCTGTGCAACAGTTATTATTTTACTCCCTGTATATGATAAAATATTAATAGCTGGAAAAAGGAGTACAAAAGAAGCACAAAACTAAGAAAGGAGTACATTTCCGGAAATTTTTGTTTGGGAGTACAAGGGAGTACATTACAATAAAAAGGAGTACGTTTACTCCCAAAAGCAGTACGGTCGTTTGTTCTTCATACCAAAGCACCATCTTTTCATTTTTATCCGAAATTTACGACTGAAAAAGAACGATAGCGTAAATCACACGATTTTTCAAAATAGAGGGAAGGTGAAGGTTTAAATAAAAGCTCCGTGTACATTTTTATTCCACGATTTCAAAAATGTCAAATTGTATGTTGTGTCACTTTTGAAGATCGTGAGCGATATGTTTAAGCGACAATCTATTATTATTCTATTAACATTAACAAACCTTCACCCCCTATAATGAATTTTCATACGATAGACGATAAACGCTTGCAAGCGTATCATATGAAATCGGTTCTCGTATTATCGTTTTCATACGCCCGACAGATGTATTGTTGTGAATGGCTGTGGTTTTTGTTCACTTTTTATTGTGAACCAGTACAAATCAGCTACGTTAATTTCATACATCATCGATTCGTAATAGAGAATAACAGAATGCAAGCGTCTATCGTGCATCGTACGAATTCATAATAGGAGGTCAGTCTTATGTGTGACACCATTGTTGTACATAATTTGTACCATGATACAAAAAAGAAGGTAGTTTCAATAAACACTTTTTGAATAAAAAGCAGATTTTTGACAATTGCTCAATCCTTTTACCGCACGTGATTGTTAAAATTTTTTGATTCGGGCTACGAGTTTGGACACAATAACCCAAAATAAATGTACAAATAACCGAACTGAACCCTTTGCTTATTGAAATTGATTTTAAATAAACAAATGTGAAGGATTTTAGATATTGGGTGATGGTAGCACGAAATGTCACAATCTGCTTAATTGTCAGGTTGTTAATATGGCGACGAAAAAGTGACAATGGAACTAACTTCTTTATGTATCATGATTTGTACAACACCTAATTGGCTTTTGGAAGCGTAAACCTTGCGTCCAAATAGATATACTCCAAACAGCAGACTTTTTTGAATATAAAAAACCAGGGACCGTAACAGTTACAACTTTTATTAAAAAAATCACTCTTTAACAATTATTTTTTGATTTTTATTTAATTACTCTTTAAATAACCGTTATTTCTGACTTTTATTTTATAAATCGAAAATAAGAGTTATTTTTGATTTTTATTTAAATAATCTGCAAATAACAGTTATTTTTGATTTTTAAATTATATGTCTTAAATAACAGTTATCGAAGACTTTTATTTATAAAAGCCATAAATAAAAATCAGTCACTGATCTTTATTTTTTCAATCATACTTATAAAAGTCATTTGAATAAGTCGTAGTAAACTTTTGTTTTCCAACACCTTCTTAACTGCGAAAAATGTTAATGACTTTTATACGATTGATTTAAAAAATAAAAGTCGGTCACTGATTTATATTAATGACTTTTAAAAGTAAAAGTCACTGACTGATTTTTATTGATGACTTTTATAAATAAAACTCTTCAATAACTGTTATCTAAGCCATATAATATAAAAATCAAAAATAATTGTTATTTTGGATTTCTAATATAAAAATTAAATATAATTGTTATTTTTTTAAATTTTGCATAAAAATTGCAAATAAAAATTTATTTTCAAATTTGAGTCTCGGTGCAAAACGAAATCGATTGGTATGTTTCACTTAGTTGTAGAACATATCCTTCATAGCGAAGTTTTCCATGACAGTTTTCATCAATAACTGTTATGTTCGGTCCCTGTAAAAAACACCCACTCACCTTTTTCAGTGCTGTATAACCAGTAAGAATAATGTGGGAATTGTTAATTTGAATGACACGGTCAACCAATCGCACAACATACGAATCGATACCAATGGTACGGCAAGTCACCATAGACATGGTGACAATTTCGTTATACGCCTGCGACGTTTCACCGGCAATCAAACCGGCATAGCGCAAATTCTCCACACCCAAGCCACTTTCTTCGTCAATGATGTCAGCAATCATATAACGTGGTTCGCCCTCTTTTTCGATGAGTACTGCATGCACCGAATTCAAATTGGCAACTTTGCTGTAATCCTCCGTGGTCAAACATGTATGTATACTTGAAACCCTTTTCTGGCTCCTCGGGATCATTCCATGTTACTTTGGACATTGATTTCACCTCTTCGCCGAGACTGATACGCGCATTGCTATTCACCGAAATGTAAATCTATTTTGGGTTAGAAGGCAAATACATACATATGTATGTAAGTTTATGATAAATACTTCTGCTGCTACTAACCCTAGGTACTTTTCTACTGCGAGCCTACTGCGATGCTTTATTATAAATCACATCTTCTAGATCCGTGACCTCCGTGTACATAGCAATATCTAAGAAAATCTCAATTCTCACGAAATTTACAGCCCTATTCCGCCACACTGACAAAACTCACCGCGATGACAATTGATATAAAAATGACAATTGCAGCTTTTTGGTATTCGCAGCAAAATTCAAAAGCTCGAATCATGCCAATTGTCATTTTTATTGTCATGACCTTTTGGGCAGGTGACAAGGCAAAAACATATGTTTGTGTTGGTTTAAAAAGTGCGACGATTTAATAAATTTGTGAAAAAAATATAAAAATCAACTAATTTCAATGGCAGCACAAATTTTAGTTATTTGCGCAGCCGTGCTTGTGGAAGATGAGCAGCAACGGATGCTCCCTACAAAACTGCACATAAAATTGCAGCTGCTCCTGCGTCGTCCGCTCATATTTTGCACGTCTAAAATGTTTGTAAATGTTATAAATATACGAATTTATCTATTTCACACAAATACTCACTTTTCTGGTGTTTCACCGCTCATATTTTTTGCAAATAATAGCGTTGACCAGCTGTTTCTACAACAATGAACTTTTCACCATGCATGGTAAGTTGACAAAAGCTTTTCGCTTGTCATTTTTTGTTAGGAATAGCAACGTGCAACGACAATGACAAAATCACGACAATGAAGGATGATCAATTGTCATGCTATTGCAAAACCGGAATAGGGCTGTTAATGGCAGTTGTCAATTACTATGTTTATGCGTGGGCAAATTCACGACATTATTTCATGAATTTGGGGTAAAATTGGCTGCATAAACACAATTGGGGTGTTCACAATTCGTTCCAAATTGTCTACATTTTGAGACATTTTTAGCATCAGTCTGTGAGCACTCCTTTCTAGCAGTCGTCACAAAATCTTCGCAAAACTTTACTGGTGTTGCCAGATAATTGTTCTTTGCGTGCATTTTTTATTTGTCGCCTTTTGATTTTGGTTCTGCAAAATCTTAATTGTTTAACGTTATTACCATCTGCCAAAATTTGTTCTTTCTTTTCCTTGATTTGTTTGTTTTCAGTAGCCATTGCGCTCAAATCCA